TTGTATTTGCAGAATTGAGATCCCCATTTATTTGCTGGGTAGCAGCTGAGTCCCATTCCCATTTTCCAGAGGCCACCTGCAGTCCAAGTCCACTTGACTTGTGGTTCTCTTTCCTCATCTTCAAGGCCAACAATGGCAAGTAGAGTACCTTTCACATTTCAGTTCTTTCCTACTGCTTCTTTCTTTCTGCCTCTCTTTTATGCTTTAAAGGAGCTGAGATTAAATTAAGTTCATCCAGATAATCCAAGGTAATCTTCCATCTCCAGGTCCTTAACTGTAATCATCAGCAAAGTCCCTTTTACCATGGAAGGTAACATGCTCATAGGCACCAGGCACTAGAATGTGGACTTCTTTAATAAGGGGAGCCCTTATTCTGTTTTTTTACATTGGATGTGGTGTCAGTGGAGAGCATTGAACTCAAGTTTCTGACTTCAACTACCAGGTAGAATGCAGATTTAGAAGATGATGAGTTTGATTTTGAACATGCTGACTCTAAGGTGCCCCTAGGAAATCAAAATGGACATCTAGTAAATAGTTGAATGCACCAGTGAAAAGGTGGAGGAAAAACTGAGGCAGGAAATATAGATTAGAAAGCTGCTAACGTATAGTGAGCCCTCAGTGAATGTTTAGAATAGGAGGAGAAGAGAGCTGAGAACAGAATGCTGGGACCAATATTTTGTAGTCGCACCAGAGGGAGAAGGACTCACAAAAGGAACTAAAGGAGAACCTACGTGGTCTCCCATCATGGGGTCTGGGATGTTTGTAGCCTATTTCTTTTCTCTTTACCTGGGCTGCTTCCCTAGTTTCCTGCCTGTTCCTAGGATCTGCTTCCCAAAACCAGTTTGTATATTGTGCTGTCCTGTCATCATGGATCTTTCAGCTTCAGATCCCACTACTAAACTGCCTGTTGTTTGCTTGTTTGTTGTTCTGTTTCTATTCAAGGTGAAAAATAAAAAATAAAAAAAAAAGGGGGGAAACCTTCTAAAGAGAATCAAATTGACCCAGCTTATCATTTTGAGTCATGCTTTGGCACAGGTCACTAGGTGAAATTTGGATTGGTTGGTCGAGATTGGATGCCCCGCTTCATACAGTCAGCTGCTTCTCTATTTCAGGAACTAAAATGAATTCAATCTGACTGTTCAGCAAATCATTTTGTTCCACAGAGGCTTTGGGGGAAGAAGGTTAACTCTATCTCCATCATATTTGCTAGATCTAGGATTATGATGTCAAAAATGGACATCACCTCTTGCTGCTAGCCTCATGTAGCTCTAATGCTGTCTGTATGCAGGGATTATTTTGTAGAAATTGAATTTGGAGTCCAAATCACAGGAATAAACTCCAGGCAGGAAAACCTCAAATCAAATATAGTCATTTTCCTTTACTGACTAATCTCTTTTCTACATTGCCTTGGTATGTTTATAAATATTATCCAAATGAGAACTTGGTATTCAGATTCATGGGCCTTTCAACCACTCAGCATTCAAACATCCTACAGGCTCTCAGCATCCATACACATACATGAGTGATGCCTGCTGACCTCAGCTGTGCTCTGACACTCTTATCACACTGAACATGAAGCATTTCTCCTTGTGGTGAGAGACCCTTTCGGGCAGGGTTACAGCTTTCATCTGTAGTGTTTAGAGGAGCCAAAAAGGCAGGACTATTATTATTTGGTGCTCTTTCTGCATATCAGGAGAAAGAAAATTTATATTGCCAATGCAAACAAAGTACTGTAAAGCCTTCAAATTCCTTTTAGTTTTCATTATGCTCAGATAGTAATTTACTGAACCTAAGTATGATGGATGGACTCCAGGAAAGGTGGGGCATCTACAAGGTCAAATGAGCTTTTCTAAAACTAAATTCCTGTGATGTCAAACTCAGAGAAAGTGTTTCCTTGTGTGGGGTTCATGTGAGGCCATCATAGGTTGGTGGTGGTGGTGGTTTAGTCGCTAAGTCAAGTCCAACTCTTGTGACCTCATGGACTGTAGCCTGCCAGGCTTTTCTGACCATGGGATTCTTCAGGCAAGAATACTGGAGTGGGTTGCTATTTCCTTCTCCAGGGGATCTTTCTGACCCAGGAATCGAACCTGGGTCTCCTGCATTGCAGACAGATTGTTTACCAACCAAGCTATGAGGGGTTGGTGGCAGCCTGGGCGAATGGTGTATTCCTGCTGTTTTCCTCTGTGTCCTGCTGCAGAGGTTCAGGCCAACACATAAACAGTAACTCCTGCTCATAGTTCCTGCTGAGGGACAGACTGGAAATAGGAAGGGACAGTGTTCTTCACACCAGTATGGACACTTCCATCCATTTATCCAGTTGTCTCTTGCGAGGTCGCTCTCTAATTGTGGCAGAGGTTTGTCCCTCCACGCTTGACTGGCCAAGGTCAAGCCTACCAGGGTTTAATCAAGTGTGCCTACAAGTGACTTATTGGTCACAGTTAATGGCTTTGGAGGTGGATGAAGTCTGATAGACAGTAAATTGCTTGAGCAACTCTTCTCTATGGAACTGACCTCCCTGAGAGCAGAATAAGCAGGAAACCTGAGCAGAATTGGGGAAGTCTGAGCTGTGGAAAGGACTGTAGAGATGATCTAGAGTAAACTGCTCACTAAGAGTTGCTACCCTGAGTTGAACTGGAAGGACATGTGGACGTATAGTCTCCAAATAGCTAGAGTCAGTAAGAACAGTTCAGCCAAGCTGGTATTAAAGCAGAAGGTATGTGATGGTATTTTTATTATGTAAAGAAGTCCAGGGAAAGTTGAAGGCAAATATAGTTAAACGAATGAGATAGAGGCAGTCTCCACAATAACTGAAGGGCAACTTTTCAATGGCTACTCTTTCTAGCCGGGTACACAGGTAATTTTCCTTTAGGTTTCTAAATCAGAAGATCTGAAGAATAATTACATTGTTATATAGAACAGGGAAATCATATAGTTTCTTTCATCATTCTTCCTTTCCCACCTTATTCTTCCCACCTACTCTCTCTCCAGACCTGAAAGAATCATATAGTCTAGCCTCAAAAGATTATTTGTGTTCTTTGAACCTACCAGACTTTTTACACTTCTGTAACTTGGTACATCTTGTTTCCTAAAACTGAGATAGCTTTCCTGTCCTCTCTCTTAAAAACTCCAACCAGTTTTCAAGGGTTAGCTGAAATTTGTTTTCTTTTTAAAGTCTTCAGACTCCCGAGATTGGATAAGTTGCCACTTTATTATGCTTCCACATATCTTTGTGCTTGTGATATACTTATAAAATTATGTTCTAACCATATAATGGAGTAATCCTCTGAAATATGATCAGCTCAATTAGAATTAATTACATAAAGCAGAGGCTTAAAGAAGATGGAAGTTTATTTCTCTGTCCTGTTAAGGAAGACTAGGCAGAAGCAATCTAGAGCTGGTATGGCAGCTTTAAAATGTCGTCATGAATCCAACATCCTGTCTATCTTCTTTGCCATGAAAGTGAAGTCGCTCAGTCATGTCTGACTCTTTGTGACCCCATGGACTGTAGCCCCCCAGTCTTCTCCGTCCATGGGATCTTCCAGGCAAGAATACTGGAGTGGGTTGCCATTTCCTTTCCCGGGGGATCTTCCTAACCCAGGGATTGAACTCGGGTCTCCTGCACTGCAGGCAGACTCTTTACCATCTGAGTCTCCAGGGAATCCCTCTTCTTTGCCATACTCAGTTCATAGCTCACATTTTCATTTCACATACAAAATGGCTGCTCATGGTGCATTCACAACACCCATGTTCCAAGAAGCGGAAAGGGGGAAGAAAAAAGATAGCATGTCTCTTCTTTTTTAAGAAAACTTTCTAGAAATATCATAGAACAATTTTAGTAGTATATAATTTGGCCAGAACTCAGTCACATGGCCATATCTAGCTGCACGAAACTCAGGAAAAATATATATGGCAGCATTGTATCAGAATAAAAATTGTATTAGAAGAGATGAGAAAAGGAAGGGTATTGAGAGGCAGCTTACTATCACATTATCAGATACATTTTTTATTTCTGATCATGCATGCTGCTCCCCCTTCCTTTGCTGATCGAAGCTGAGCAAGCTATGGCTTTAGGAAGCAGATAGAACCCGAGTGAAAACAAAGATATATAATGGGTTTAAGATTTATAGTCATAGTTCAGGTGTGCAGAATGTAACTTTCTTCATTTGCTGAACTTGACTTGCTCATAAGCCCCTATTTCCACTTACCACTAGAAAAAAATTCTTATCAATTAAAGGTAATGTCACTTCTGTTTTAAAATTGATTCTCTTCAGATAAATATTCAGCCAAATGCAGAGTTTTGACATTTTCCTTTTCCTGCCTTCTCACCAGGAAGTGTTCTGGTTACCAGAGTCTTTCTACAGTTCTCTAGTTCTCTTGGGACCTCCAGTACTTAGGTGAACACCTAACTCCAGTTACATTAGGTGTCTGTCCTCTTCACTACCCAGGAACTTCTCAGGGTCTGGAACCTTGTCTTAGCTGTTTTGCTTTCTCTGGTGCCTATTGTGAATGTTGACATATAGGAAAAAATTTTAAAATGTGACCAGTGAATTTATAAGTATACTTTAAATACATCATGTAATTAATTCAAATGGATCATGATAATCTGAAAATCCTGTAAAATTAAAAGTCTTCTCTCAAGCCCATAGCACTTGGCTTATAGCTTTCTTATGGCAGCAATAATATTCAGCTCTCAGAGTGGCTATGTGCTTGCCTCACCCTTCAATAGTGTCCACTCTCTGAGGAATGTTCCTGATCTGTGTAACCCTCAGAGGTCCTGCAGAAAGCTGTGGACATAGTAGGCCTTCAATCAATGGAAATGAGCCACTAAACAAATAGGGATTGGCATTTTATAATTTACCACTGATAAATGACTCCTACCCAGAAATAAATAAGCCTAGATTTTATCAGAGCTATTTAGAACAATATCAGTAAAGATAAGTTGATATTTTGCTTTTAACAAAACAATTTTTTTGAAAGAAAAAAATGTTTTTGTTTTTCAGAAATCCTCCACCTACTTTACTTCATCCGGAAAAATGGTGTGAAGAATTCAACCACTTTATTTCACAGTGAGTATTTCTTCCACGAAAAATTGTTTATCCAGCAAGGCCTTGGACAGTGATTGGAGAAATCCAAGCTGTGGAATTGATTTGGTGCTAGATGTTGTTATACCTTCTAGCACATCATGACACAGAATTTGTTCTGGTAAATGATAGATGGTGCCTCTGCAGATTTGAAAAATATGGAATTCCACTTGACTTTTGGTTATAATCAGTCCTCCTGATCATATGTGTCACATTTATCTGACTACTCTGTCCTGGGAAAAATATTGCCAAAGGGTCTTGTTTAACAAGAAAGGGGACTCCATATAAACATCTGACACCCACACTTGAGCCAAAGAGGAGACAGAAGGTGGTAGCCTTCAGTAGAGATTTTGCAGCTTGGAATTTAGGCTTTGCTTTAGGATCTGTGGTCTAGGAGCAGGGCTCCAGCTTCCAAGACGATTGAGGGGCAAAGTGAGATCTTGGGCCTGAGGCACCAAGGTGAGAAGCCCCAGCCAGGGCTCAGAGTGTGGAGAACAAGATGAAAATCCAATTGATGGGTAATGTACTTGGTGGGAACTGTGTTACCTGGAACTAGGCAGTATTGCATGGGACCAAGACAGGAGCAGAGCCAACAGTAGCGCCAATGGGGTGGGGACTGAGTGCTGTCCCCTGACAGAGAAACCACACTAGTCCTGAGTCTGGGGAAGGTGCTCAGTGTTGGAGGGGTCTATGTAAAGGGGCCTGGTGAACTGTGGGGGGCAGGAATCTAGCCAAGGCGATTATAAGCTATAGAGGTGCCCTCAGCATCTAGTGTATCAAAGAAGGGGTTCAAGGGTCATGGAAGGAGAAAAGACATGACCAAAATAGCTGATAAACAGGAAGAAGGAAAGAGTCAACACAAATTTCTCTAGCTTATGCCTATGTGCAGACTTAGCTTCCACAAAGACAGTGCAAGGAAGCAAACTGGGTCTCTTGATCGCCTTCCTTAAGCACAGTACAATCCCTTGTTCACAATTCCAAAACGCAAAGAGCTCTGAAAAATGGAAATTTTTTTTTTGTATTTGAGTCATTTAGCTGCAATCCCTGACCTTATGTGAACTGATTTGGTGGCAACACATGACCTAAACTGAAGTGAGGCTATTTATAGCCATTATTTGTCCTACTCAGTGTGAATAGTCATGTGAATTGCTGCAGATGTATTAATGTGTTTGATTACAGTGTGCTGCCCTAGATCCTGCTGGGGATGTTATATAACATACAGTAAATGCACTGATTTACTTTTCTAAAATTTGATAAAATTCTGAATTCTAAAACATATTTGGCCCCAAGGGTTTTGTATAAAGAGCTGTGAACCTGTATTTCATCTCCATTTCAAATACAGCATAATTCAAGGTCCCTGAAATTGTTTGTCCCGCCAATCTCTCCTAGCTTTTTGCTGACATCCTCAGAAGGGAGCAGGGGTAAAGAACTCCAAGAATTCCACAACTCTAAGGAAGGCTGTGTTGGAATGTGACCATGAAATTCAGGGCCGGGGACAGATGATATTTTCTTGTCCTTCTGGTCCCCACTCTGATGTTCTGCAGTGACTGCAGAATGCAAAAGCAGCTGCAAGTCAAGGCTGGTGATAGTGGGCAGTGTTGAGAGGAACAACAGATACAGCAGGAGGGATGATGCTCTCAGAGGAGCAGAGGAAGAGCCACTTCCTGATATTTGGAAGCCAAATGAAGAGGTGGAAGGCACTGGAGAGCTACAGACATCCTGGTGACTGGAAACACATTTCAGATGACCCCAGAGAAAGAAATCCAGCGGTTAGGCTTCCTGTGATTTTGATTTTCCTTTTCATTCCATTGCTTCACACAGATGCCCTTGACTGACCTTCTCGAAGCTGTTGACCAAGAAAACCACATCACATACTCACAAAAACACTTTCCTATACCAAACACTAAATGCCTCTAAAATGTGACTTACTCACCAAAGGTTTGGCTTCAAGAGTATGTTTGTGTTCTTAAAGTAAGCACAGTATTTCATGGATAGATGTGGGAATAAAGGTATGTAATTGATAATAGGGTTGTGGCTTTCAGGATTAAATATAGTATAGAAATCCCCCTCTACTATTGATTTTTCTTTATGGAAAATCCCATTATATTCCCATTTAAATCTGGTGAAGTCTTTCCCAACTCTGAAAATTCTATATGTGCTCATTCTGAGTTGCTTTAGTCTTAGAAAAATGTTGGTACTGGAATGGAGGACTCAATACAGAAAACAATGCCTTTAGTATGCATGCATCAGCTACAGAGCAAAAGCATCTTATTGAAATGGCAGAGGAGAGAGAGTCTGAAAAGGTTCTAATGAGCCAGTGAAGGTAAAGAGAAATTAAGTGATTGTGTGCTTTATTACTAATTTAAGATATGGAAAAATGCCATCAGTATTCTCTTTAATGATTTGTCCTTACTGGTTTCATTAATGAAAATATTATATGTTATAGGTGTTCATAGATTCTTTCCTGATCTCAGTCCCTCAATTCTATTTTCCCTGTAACGTCTGAGATTCTTTAACCATGAATTTTCCTTTTACAATTTTTTTAGGAATATTACTATCAAGATTAGGAACTAACTATTGTATTTTATATCTTTAGGTAGAAAACTATTTACTATTCCAAAATATTACCCTTTGGTTATTAGGAACCAGCCTACCAAATGCGATTTTAATTTTCTATTTCATTCTATTTATTCAAATCTCTAATTAAATGTAAACAAAGATACTCACTGGGTTAGAAATGTCTATTTAAAGAGAGAGCCTTGGTTTTCTTTTATACTTACCTTACTGATCTTGGGAAGGAAAAGGGAAACTATGAAGGATTAAGACCTTCAGACCATAAACTTTTCATTATTGCTGAAACTGAGGTGGGAAGAATGTTATCTGGTAAATTTTTTTAGCCTGAATTATCCAGATAATGTCTTCAATTCCCATTGTGGGTGGAGCTATGGCTCCTTGATTTAAAGTAAACTAAACTAGTTCTTTCTAAAGAATAAATAGGACTAGAAATTTTTTTAAACAGTTTTAAAACCTTTAATACCTGGTTCTCATGTAACTGCTGAGCCATATCAGCATCAATTCAGTAATTTAAGTCTTTCTTGGTCCATGATGGCACCATTCACCAAAGGACCTCATGGCTTCTCATTGTTGCTTCAGGGATCTGAAGGAATTGGTCAGGCTGCAGCCCAGTGATCACAGCTATGTAGACAGGGGACTCTGTGTGTGTGTGTGTGTGTGTTGTGTGTGTGTGTGTGTGTGAGAGAGAGAGAGCGCAAGTGCAATAAGTGCAGAAGTGGGAGCAGAGGCAGGCTGTAAGTGCCAGGAAGTAGCTTACTGTTTTTAGATGTGTTTCCAGCATTCTTCTTAATCTGGAGACAGTAGAAGAGATTTTAAATTCTGACATCCTATTAGTAAACCTATTTTGAGGGTTAAAAAAAAAGAAAGGAAACATCATCTTGTTTGGTTTTGAACCTTTGGTCGTTAGTGATGATTGATTCATTTATGTATGTTAGTTAAGCATTTGTCAAAGCATGACTCCTGACAGCTTAGTTATAAATTAAACATGATACTCACATAAATTCTGCACTGCTTTTTATCCAGATGCTAGAACCCTGCCTGATGTTTTCTGTCACCTTTGTAATGTGTGGTTGGCTGTGTAGGGATTTCATTATCAGCCCTTTACTCTTTGGCTAAAGCTATTTGCATAACAAGGTTATCTGGTTGAAGTCCCAGACAGATTTCTATTTTGTCTGGAAGCTGCATTCAGAAGTAGCCTTTTGATAAGATGACAATAATTTTCCTTTACCAGGTTCTCTTTGGTTCTAAAGGACATCACTTCTCTTTTTAGTTCAAACCAATGTCAAGTCTTTGGACTAATCTACGAAAATTCTTTACCAACCTTTGGTCAAAAGGTATCTGTGAGCTGTGCTTTTTCATTTTGCCTCTGAAACTTTTGGGGTTTTATTAGGTATTAGATTCAGGACTTCTTCATCAATGGCTTTTGAGCTGATTAGTGAGACAATAAAGATGGATTTCTCTTAGTCAAGGGCAAATTCACCAAGAGTACTACGACTATTCAGCTTCAGACTCATTGATGATTTGAACCACATGATTGCCCACGCACACACCTCTTTCCAGGGCTGACCCCCTTGAGTAGCTAAACGTGCAGGTGTGTCTATTCCCCAGAGTGAGCATCGTGGTCATGCCTGCCATGTAGTCATGAAATGTTGAGGCAACCTTTTCTATCCCTGCAAATGACATTCAAATGGCTATAAGCAGTTGTACTGAATGTTAACAAGGTGTGATCATTCTGAACTACAAAACTACTAAAACAAATGGGCGTTTGCATAAATTTATTCCTTAAAAATTGAAACTCAGACCTGGAACATCTGCTTTTCTCTAGGCCTGAATGTTTGTAAAGGTAATCATTTTGGAATGGTTAATTTCTTGACATTGATTGTACTCCCTTCAAGGCAACAATTCTCAGCCCTTCACCATTCCCCGTTTTGCATTTCAAGGCAGCTTAATTCCACATGGCTTTATAGTATCAGTGAACAGCACTCTTGGAATGATAAATATCCTAACTCAGAGACTGATAAGTTTCCACAAATATTCTTGGCTTTTTAAGTCCTGATGGATTCTCAGGTGGCTATGCACAGGGTTAATACCGCCTGAGTAGAAGGATACAATAACCTTTATTTATATTACTTCACGAATTGGTAATTTTAATTAAAATGAGCAGTGGTATCTCTGGTGACAGACTCTTTCCATTTTAGATTTATTTAGCCAATGATTAGCATTATGGTTCCTTGAATTAATTAGCATCTCTTGAGCTATATGGAATTAGTGAATTAATAAAAACTGATGGAAAAGTTAAAAAAAATTCTAATTTAAAAAACTCCCAATTCTCCTGTCCTCTCTAAACATATTGATCAATATATTTATAAATGCAACCCAACTTCTTTCTCATTTTGAAAAACTGAGATTTT